ATTGGAAGACCTGAGAGTAAAACTGGAGAAAGAAGGATATTTTAATATTTCCTATGCTATTGTTAATCATCAAGGAATCTCTTCTCAATTACAATATATACATCTTAAAAATAAGGTTTCAGAGCATATTCCTGTTTATCAACAAGAAGAAACCCAAACAGATGTCTGGACTCTTTTAAATGGAGACAAAAATGACTTCCTCATATATGACAGGTGTGTACACACACATACACACACACAAACATACCCCAAATTAAAAGATACCTGCTTTGTACTTATTTATTTACTTATCATTTTTTCCCACCACATGTAGCAATCTTTATACAATGCCATATGTCCATCCTCATCTCATATAATGTCTCTTTAAACACTTAGAAGTGAAAACCACTTTCTTTTTAATATTTCTGAAATTGTTTTCTTGAAAGTAAGCCATGCAAAAGAGTTATCATTCTAATAGAGAAATAAAGAAAATTAACTATACATTTTTTGCCATGTAAATTGGCATTCTGGTTAAATAAAAAGAAAGATCAGTTTGTACATCATGTACTTCTAACCTAAGTATTTTGCAGATGAATAACCACACTTCACAGACCATACCTGCTTATCTGTAATCTAATTAATAATTTTAAGGCTACAAACCTGAGTTTCTGAACTTTAAAGTGTATTAATCATTTAAGTATGATGTGCATGAATCTGCTTTTGATTCCATGAACAAATAAAACATTCATATTTTGAGGGAACCTCAATACATATATTATTTGCCACTTCAAACATTCTTTGTGCTCTGATTTCTCTTTGCTCTTCAGAGTCTGGTGAGCCAGACTTTGCCTAGGCCTAACCCCTACTTGGTCTTACAGTAAATATATTTTTTTGATATTACATTTCATTATTTTGGGCCTCCAAAATTCTAATTTAGTCAGGTCCAAAGTACTGTATAACCCTCTGATAGTCACATAACACCATATATACTGGGTAAAATGTAGGCAAGGAGGACATTTCAATTCCACCATTTCTGAGAATGCCAAGTGTTATAATTCCAATTCCTTTACTGTGCTGAAATTTTTGTTGCATCAGATATATATTTAAATAAATGGGCTACTGGCCCAGGCTTGGAGATTCTTTTGCTGTGATGTGATTTCTTGTGTGGAATTTGTGCTACCTTAGTAGTTATGAAATGCTAATGTGATTTGCAAAGCCTAATTTATAAGTTAGTTGTTTGGGTGCTGGTAGGATGTATAAATCAGTTAAAAATTGTATTTGACCAAGTCACAATGACTATACTACACATTTTTGATATTATTTAGTGACATATCTATAATATTTCAAAATGCTAGTATTAGACTCATTGTAGTCATGCTATGACCTGACCTGGTATATAGTGCTCACTTGTAGACTCCATCCAATGAAATTTACTGATTGTGTGAAAGGGTCTTAGTTATAAAACCATTAAACCTATAATACCTACCCAAAACCATGCTGGAGAAGGGTCATGATACAGAAAATATTGTAATGACATTGCATTTGTCTTTTCTTTTAGATGTGGCCGTCTAGTATATTATCTTGGTTTGCCTTATTCCTACCTAAGTCTCCCATATGTAGAAGAAGCCATTAAGATTGCTTACTGTGAAAAGAAATGTGGAAACTGCGATCTCATGGTATTTTTCTCAATTATTTTTTTTCTGGGAGAAAAGAGGAAATCTTTCAAGAGCTATCTAAATAAGTTAGCGTTTTATGATAAATTAGCCAATCGATGTTTTTGTTGGTGTACTAAAAATAACAATACTTTTTATAATTATACACATTTCCAGTTATGTGATACATACTTTAAAACATCTTTTAAAGGTCTGTATTGTTGCCTTTATCTAGAAGCGTTTTCTAAAATAAAAATCAATGTAGATCATACATTTCAATTACTGCCAAATGATGTTACATAATTGCTCAAAGAATTTAGTCAACACTAAAACAATATTATTGTAGTAACCCGAATATGTTCACACAAGAACATAGTAATAGAAAGCTTACCCATGGCATTTACCTGCAATAAAATTGGGGCTAGATAACTACTTAATTTATCAAGGATGCAAGACTGTCAGCTTTTTCGTGAAGCCCTTATACTGTCTGCCCATTCTGCAGTTTGAATTGCTGCATTAACTTCAAAATGGAATGTTTTCTACTCATTACTGATATTTCTTTTCTAACAGCCATGAAAATTTTCCTTGTTAGAAGCACTATACTTAATTTTTTTAATAAAAAAGATATTCAAAGAATTGATTTTAATTTGTATTAACTAGACTTCTTATCCCTTCATATAAAAAAGAAAAACAATTCTGAACAATGTTTCCTTGGTAGGGCAGATTGGAAAAATTTGAACTCAGGCTTAAAAACAATTCTGAACTTTATTTGTGACCTATACTTCCTTCACAATCTTTCCAGCACTAAATAAAGCTATCTCAAATTTTAACGAATCATTTAATTAATTTACTTAGTTGTTAAGGAGCACAGCAGGTTAATTACTCTAGTTATGTCCTTTTAATGATTAGAATAAAAAATCCTCACACACTTCAATCTTCTTAATAACCCTATGAGGGTTTATTTTACTGCTTTTAAAGATGAGGAGTCTGAAGTAATGGAAATAAAGTACTAACTAAATGTCTAATATACACTAAGTACTTCACAAATGCTAGCTGTATTGTTTCCTTATATTTGGGGATTATTTCTGTATTTCTCATTTGTGCAAATGCCTGATAAATATATCTCACTGAATTGAAAAAAGGCAAAACCAATTCCGATAATATGTTTAAAATTTATAACCATCTCTAAATAAGAATAATATACTATATGTATCTGACATGCCAAATCAGATTAGAGTCCTTCTATTTCATTGTCACCTAGAAGCTATCAATTATATGACATATTATTTTATGTACTGTTAAAAAATGCTGCCAATTAAAGTAGGATGCAATGGTAAGACACCATCAATAGTAGGATACATTTTAATTTTAGAGATATCAAAATGTGCAAAAATATGCATTACAGAATCAGTGAAATATAGTAATTTTTTTGAAGTTAATTAGACTAATACCATCGCTACCTGTGTTTGCTTAATCACTGAATACTTAGCACATTACATAGTGTATTTTAAATATTTATCAAATTGTTTATATGTTCATAACCAAATACTACTTAGTTCTCATTTAGAAGTAATTCAGAAATAACCCCAAAACATACCACTTAGTAATTATAAGCTAAAATTCAATGGAATTCATAAACTTTCAAAACCTTCAAAACATGGAACCACACTACATAGTGAGTCTTTGGGTTCTGAAGTTGATTTTGTACTTTTATTTACAAATCAACTTTAGGTTGAGGTTTAATATTATGTTGCTATACTTATAGGCTTTGAGTCTGTGATTTGTGGGTAACACAAAGCAGTAAAGACTTTCAGTAAATTAAAGAACTAGTATCATACAGAATGGACTATTCTGTTCAGTGGGAAACAGACAGTAATTTGCTACTTTCAGCTGACAGCAACACAGTAAGGACACATTAGCAAAGCTTTGGTGAAGTTCAAAACATTTCCTGGCATAGGCTGAAGTATGAAAAACTACCAGTTTTCAGCAGAATTTATTGGCATTTTTGAATTATCATAGAGAAATTAGTGTGCTTCAGAATACAGTATTACATCAGATACATTGTTGACACAGGTGTGAAATGTTCCATGTAGGTTAGTTGTTTCTAAGATTTGATACTTGGTTGACTTTACTGCAATCTAAGTTCTTTTAGCCAGTTTACTTAGTTTTTCTTCCACAGATATAAATACAATGGTTTAGCTTTCTCTTTAAGCCTTTAATAAAAAGTCCAGGTGTTGAGACTACCATTGGACTCTTTTCTCATTGATATGATGCTAGAAAAACAAAGCCAGCTCTATCCTAATAACTATTTGGAATTTCATGTAACGTAGCTCTACAAATCATTTTTTATGCAATCCTGCTAAATCTATAAATGTGTTGATAAATGATTTATAAATTTGTTCCAGACTCCCAAAGATGAAGACTTTTGTAAAAATGTATCTTTGGCAACTGTGGAAAAAACAACAGAGGCTCCACAGCCACATCACCATCACAAGCATCATCACAAACATGGGCATCAACATCTTGGAAGCGGTCACCTTTCAGAGAATCAGCAACTAGGAGCACCAGATACTCCTCCACATTTCCCTCCTTCAGCCCTTCATCACCACCATAAGCACAAGGGTCAACATAGGCAGGGTCACCCAGAGAGCTGAGAGATGCCAGAAAGTGAAGGTTTACAACTTTCACTTCTACAAAAGAAGCTCTGTCGAAAGAGATGCATAAATCAGTTACGCTGCAAGTTGCCCAAAGATTCAGATTTGGCTCCTAGTAGCTGTTGCTGTCACTGTCGACATCTGATATTTGAAAAAACAGGGTCTGCAATCACCTGACAGTGTACAGAAAACCTCCCATCTTTGTGTAGCTGACAGGGACTTTGGGCAGAGGAGAATGTCATTGAATCTTGTCAATGACGTCGGCCTCCTGCTGTCTGACAAAGTCAGCAGCTTATGCCTACAGAAGCCAGCACCAATTGAAGCTGAAATATTAAGGCGAAAAAATGAAAATGACCTTCAAATTAAATACTTAAAATAGGATATACTCCCCAAGTCATTCTAGACACAATTTCATTTCCACTATTTTTATTAGTGAGCCAAAAATAGAAATTGGATTTCTACAAACATGGAGAAATTTACTAGATTGACTTCCAAATTTCAAATTTTATGTCATTGAAATTTTAACCCAAACCAAATTTTCATTATGAAGCAACTGAAAGGTGATTGTGGCTTTTGGATAATATGTCTTTCTTTTTCTTTTTCCGGCATTCTACTTGCATTAATGAGAACAGAAACATAAACTATGACCTAGGGGTTTCTGCTGGATAGTTAGCAATTTAGAATGGAGAAAGAACAACAAAGACATGTTTTCCACTTTTTCTTTACTTAACTCTCAAAACAATATTATCTTTGTTTTTTTAATCTTACATTTTTAACTGATTAAATCTTTACTTAACACATGAATATTTTGCTAGAAAAGCATATATGACTACATCTTAAATATCCACTTTTTTGTATCCATGACTCATATCTTGATTTTTACTATTACATGTGATTAAAGCCTTTGTATTTTGTTTTCTTTACCTAGCATAGTATCACACTCTTCTAAAATTTCAGTGGCTATTTTGAAAGATGTAAGGCGAAAGATAAAGGAATGTTGTCTATCTCTAGACTGCTTAGAGAGTATTTCCATAATTAATGATGGTACTATAGGTAAACCAATCCCTATAAACCTGAACTCCTTTATGGTTAATACTATTAAGCAAGAGTGCAGTTCAGAATTGGCTAAGGTGTGGATTTTTCTAAATAAACTCAATATAAAAAGTTTAAAGCTGTCTCTTTTTTTGTTATTATTTAGGCAGTATGCTTATATTGAAAAGAGAAGAAAATTTTTCAATTGCTTTTAAAGAAATTAAAGAGCAACTAATGAATTTGCTATACTCAAAACCATCTACGCTTAAGATGAGAATCTTTGCCAACAGAAAGGCGTTGCTCCAAATCACAAATGGTATTACGAAGAATTGCAATCTCCTTGTTTTTTTCTTCTTGAACATGTTGAAGCTTCTAAATGAAGCAGAAAAAAATTTGTTAGTGCAATTCAGAAATAATAAGATTAAGTACAAGGAACAACAAAACAACAACAACAAAATATACTTCTGCTTTACCAAAGTATTAAAAAGGATACCTTATTTTGAAAGGTTTATAATTTCAGTTTTGTGGGACTTAAGGGGGTGAAATTGGCATTAGAATAAAAAAAACCCCATTAGATATATTGTTAATAAATATTAGATAAGTTTTATAAAAACACACTAAGAAAACTTATTTTCTTACGCAACAATCTTGGGGGAAAAACTCACATACCCTTCTGTAGATACTTTGCGTCAAAACAGTTGAATCCGCATATGGCTTTGACTTAGTTTGAACTCTTGCTAGTTTGGCATCAAACTGAACCAAGTTTAAAAAGAAAGTTATTGAGAACATTCTAGCTAAACAATTAGAAACAATTTCTATAAATCTAAGTATCTAAGTAAAATCTGTGATATCCTTTGACATTATCTGTAACTTAAGTGTATTCTCTGTATAGTAGACAATAGAAAAATATGTAACAAACAATTTTTAAGAAAGAGCAACGAACACTCAAATAAGATTGACCCTAATTGAATGGTAAAATCACCCAGGGAGCTTTTTAAAACTACCAAATGCCCGGGCACTATCTTAGAAATTCTGGGGTGCAGCTAGCATCATCACTTTCTTAAAACATCAGGTGATCTTATTGTGAAGTCAAAGGTTGAGAATCTAGTTTAACTTAAAAATAGATAAAAATATTTTCATATTACCATAAGTGTACTTTTGTAAAGAAAATGTAGTATAAGCAACAGTCACCCCTCTTTAGAAACTCTGAGGCTGAATAGTAGAATTTGGGTATGATTTTGCTGATTTAGTTTGAACTCTTGTTGGTTTAAGTTAAACTGAATCAGGTTAAAAAAATTCTCAGGCTGTTCTCACAGGCCAATTTTTTTTTGCACAATATTCCATTGTAATTCTTCCCTTCAGATTTAGTTTAATGTAGCCTCTCTGAGGACTAAGAATAAATTCTCTGTGAGATTGTATTCTGGTGGGGAGAAAAATGGATAGTTACAAAGATGACAAATAACAAAGAATTCTGCATACTATTCAAATAACAGACTTGGGTTAAACCAATGACAGGGCCCAGATGACAAAAAAAAAAAAAATGGAAATTCCCAACCAGTGGATTAAAAGTTGGTGGTAGATCTTGAAATATGGCCTACTATATTTTACTTGGCCACCCAGCCCTCTCTGAGACTTGTGATTACATTTGTCCACTAGGCGGTGGCGGCAGCAGCAGCAGCAGCAGCAGCAGCAAAGAGCCTCGAAAGGTGACATTTGTCACCTTTCTGTCCAGTGATTATGCATGGTACCTCACCAAGCACTCGAGGCATACCAAAATTTTAGGAAAATGAATAGTAAGTTACTTTACTAAGACCTGTGAATTAGACTGAGAATGATAAATGCTGGTGAGGTTAGGGAGAAAAAGGAACTCTCATACACTGTTGGTGGGACTACAAAAACTGGTGCAGCCTTTATGGAAAATGGTATGGGGGTTCCTCAAACAATTACAGATAGATCTACCATATGACCCAGCTTTTCCAGTGCTGGGAATATACCCAGAGGAATGGAAATCATCATGCTGAAGGGATACCTGTACTCCAATGTTTACTGCAGCAGTATTTACAATAGCCAAGAGTTGGAACCAGCCCAAATGTCCATCATCAGATGAGTGGCTAAGGAAAATGTGATATATCTACATAATGGAATACTATTCTGCTATAAAAAAGAATGAAATATTACAATTCTCAGAAACATGGATGGACTTAGAGAACATTATATTAAGTGAAATAAGCCAGGCCCAGAAAGAGAAATACCACATGTTCTCACTTATTTGTGGGAGCTAAAAATAAAAAAGTAAATAAACATACAAACAAATAAATGGGGTGGGGAGGTGGGGGAAGAAGACACAATGATCTCAACAATTCTTTGAACTTGTTAAGACGGAACAGATATGATGTTGATAGGGGGAAGCGGGGAGAGGGAAGTGGGAAAGAGGAATTGGTAAAGGGACACGAAAATCAACTACATTGTACATTGACAAAATAATAAAAGAAAAAGACCTGTGAACTCTTACAACATAAGGTAAAGTGGGAGTCGGGGTGGGGAGAAGCAATAGAAGAATGATGGAAAGGGAGAGTGGTAAAATCTAGAAAAAACTTTAAAGGACAAATATTTTGTCAAAATATCAATATCTGTGAGATTCTGATATCTGATTAACCAACTGAAAAGGCTTTTGAGTAAACAGCTGGTGGCTCAGCCTTTGAGATGCCCTGTTTATAGTCCCTTTTACAATTTTTTTAAAGGAATTTGGTTAGTTTGCCCCTAGAATATATGTTTTTCCAGAAATTTATTAGAGAGAAATTTGTCTCTTTTTATCCCAAGTAAAGCAAAAGGAATTTCTAGTTGGTTTACCAGGGATTCACAATATCTGCTGGGGAGAAAGTAATGTTAAGGATTAGAAACATTCTCCCCATGCTGGAATGATACTTTTATGAAGTCTGACTGACTAAACTGTAAAATGCAGGTAACCCCTGAGTCATCTGTCCCCACTCTCAGAGGAAATGACAATTCCTGGAAACCAGGACTGTTTGAACAACTGAAGAGTCCCACCTTCAGGTCAAGTGCTGAATGACAGTGTAGCTGACAGTTGTGTGGTTGACCATTGCATCTGATGGAAAATAAGCATGGGCAAAGTCCTCTCACAGAATTGTTTCTAGTTCTGAAATTTATCTCACTGTGATGAAAAACATTCAAAATATGGTTTAGACCAAGGAATGTATCCTCAAGTTTAGCAGACCCTTAAACACCCACCTCTAGCTGTAGTTTGATTATTTCATTTTGTTTTTCTTTTTCTTGATTTCTTAACTTGGCATTTAATTCTGAAATTTCCATCTCCTTTTTCTCCATTAGTTCTTTGTGCTTTTCTTCATTTAATTCAACTGAAAAAACACAAAAATATAAAAAATTCATTCATTTAGCATTTCAAAAATATTATAAGGTTATATTTCATTAGTATTTAAAACAATTCACAAGAAAGTAAGTTCTGTTAATAAGATATATTTTAGAATTGTTTATGTGTAGGGTACCTTTTATATATTTCGGACAAGACCCTGCATAATGTTTGAAACACATAGGTTGCTCATCAAATGCTTTTGAATGAGTAAACTAATTTGTACTCTTAAACATCAATGGCCTAGAAAATAAATGGCACATTCAATGGTTAAGGAGGGACACAAAACCTGGGTTCCTAGGTATAGAGGACCCAAGCTACTAGATGACTCTAGAGCTACATCAAGCCCCCGCTATACTGTTGCAAATGATCAGACCTCTCTCGTGTTCACATCAAGTCTTTATGCTTCATCAAATTACTCTTCTCTCAACTTCCTTGTTCCTGTTAATGACACTAGGCCATTTAGGACAGGAACCTCAAGGAAATCTTTGATTTTAAAGAGAAAAGAAAGAGTGAATTAGTCTACAAGCCCCACAGATAGGGCTTCCTAACTACCTCATGTAGATATTTAGATAATTGATTTTTAACCTTTTCCAGTATTTGCATTTAGGCTGTAAATTTATCTATAAACGCAGATTTAGCTATGTCCCACAATTTTTGATATATAATGCTTTCTACATAATTTAGTTCAAAGTATTTTCTAATTTCATTTGGGATTTCTGCCTTGGTCCATAGGTTATTCAGAAATAATTTTCAGATGTATGAGTGGTCTTCAAAAAGTTCACGAAAAGATTCATATTATCTTTTAATTCCATTTTTCCATGAACTTTTTGAAGTACTCTTGTGTAGAGATCTAGTCACCTGTATTTTATCAAGTTTTCCTTAGTTGCAATGCAGTCAAAGAACCTACTCTGTATGACTTCAGATCTTTGAAATGTGTTGAAATTTGTTTCTTGGTTCATGATATGGTCAACTTTCTTAAATGTTCCACACACACTTGAAAATAATGCATTCTCTGCATTTATTGAGTATAGTGTTATCTATATATATATCAATTAGTACCTGTTTGTCAATTTTGTTGTTTAAATTGTCCATATTATTATTGATTTTGCATGTTTGTATGTAGTTTTTTTTTTTAACCACCAAAAGAGGTGCATTCAAATCTCTTACTACAATTGTGAATTTGTCTTTTTCTCCTACTGGTTTTGCCATTTTTTGCTTCATATATTTAAAACCACGTTATTTAGTACATATAAATTTAGAATTGATTTTATATCTTCCTGGTGGATTGAACATTTAATCATGAAATATCCATTCTTATTTCTAGTATTGCTTTTCACCTTAAAGAATACTTTGTCAAATATTAATATAGCTATGCCAGCTTTGTGTTGGCTACCATTCGCACGGTATATCCTTTTCCATCTCTTACTTTAAATCTTTCTATCTTTATATTTTAGATGTTTCTCTTAAAAGCAGAATATTAGCAGAATTTAATTTTTATCCAATCTGACAATCTTTGTCTTTTAATTAGAACATTTAATCAAGTTTTATTTAATGCATTTGCTAATATATTTGGGTTTAAATATACCAGTTTATTATATACTATGTTCATTTCTCTATCTTATCTTGCCTTCTTTTGGGCTGAGTAACTATTTCTATTACTCTTTTTCTCCTCTGTTAGCTCAATAGTCATTAGCTTGATATATATTCTTTTATTCCTCCTTTAGCGGTTACCCTAGTGATTACAACATGCATACCTGATTTATTAGAATAGAATGAAATTAGTACTTTTACCACTTAATAAGCATTGAATCCCCCAAGTTTTATGTATCAGAAACTTGATCATTACCTTGACTGTTTAGACTTTGGGAAATCCTTTTATGGTTATTGAAAGGTGGGGCCTTCTAAGGACCATGCCCTAATGAATGGATTAATAATGGTGGTCATGTGTGTGGTTCTGAGGGCTTTAAAAGGAGAACACGTGAGAGTCTCTCTCTCTCTGCTTCCACCATCTTGCAATGTGATACCCTGTGTGCCTGAAGCCACCACCAGGGAAAACCATCACCAGATGTGTTCCCTGTACCTTGAGCTTCCCAGTCTCAAAAAATGTAAGCAATAAATTTTCTTTCCTTACAAATTACCTAGTTTTAGGTATTTTGTTATAAGCAAAAGAAACAGACTAATACACCGCTTTATGGACATTATAAGAATATTATAACACTTTAACTCGATTTACTCTCCCTCTATCTCTGGTGGTTTTGTATTATGTTAACTCAGCTAAATTAGAACTATGTTCCTCAGAATTCCCTTTCCTGTGTGATTCTAAGTTAGATTTGGCCACAAGAGAAATATGCACAAGATTTGAAATGTGGAAGTAAGGCAGAAACTAATTTGCTCTGAAGGTCAGTGTAGGATGCTAGGCAATGTTGCAGTTCACACAGGGTATTGCTTATCTTCTGGCTCACCAAATTAGCAGCTATTATTTTCTGAACGTCAGTGTAGAACACCGGGAAATGTTGCAATTCATGCAAATTTGTTGCTTTGCGTTGCTTCGCCCCCCACGGATTTGTCACCCCACTTCCCCTGGGTGACGGAGATGCAAAGGATTACTCAAAGCCCATCTCTTCTGAGTAGTGAGAGGCCCCAAAGTGGTTAATCTCCTGGAACCCTCAAGAGAGAGGCATTCCTTCCTTGGGAAATTAATGCCGAATTGGGGTTCTCTTCCTGTATTTATTTTCCAGACCAGGAAGTTACAGGAAGAGAACAAAGGTGGGTTATAGTTTAACAGTATAGGCTGGTAACTTTCAGTGAAACAAGCCAGATGACATTCCAGTAAGGCAATTAAGTGATCCTATCAACAACAGTTTGATCTTAGCAAACATTCCTTCTTAACAGCAATTTCTCAGTATTTTTACATAACAATCAGTAACTAGTCTGTCTTTGAGCCAGCAACCTACTGTGCCACGATCTTTATCTTGCAACAGAGACTTATACCCTGAGGGAAATTTCCAGTCCTCCACAAGGTCAATATTTGAAACTACAAGGCTTTGGAAAACCAGGCCCTGTGAAGTACATATGCTTTATAGTATATTGCACACAAGTTGTCACTGATCACTGGCTCACTTTACTAACATGGAGAAGCATTTGGTTCCACAGCTTCATAAGCTCCTACCAGACTTCTTTTAGCTGCTATGAGTACCAGGCCAGATGTCCTTGCAGCTCCATGGCAAAGGCACCATCTTTTCCTGTAAGTTGCCATGTAATCAAGGTTGGAAGTCATAAGAAAGATGCAGTTTCCTCACTCTTTCCAACTTCACATCCAGTTTTTATCTCTAAGGCCTTTCTAATTGCAGCAACTTTAGGCTCAATACTAGATGCAGAGACAACAGCCTTCTGTAGACTTCAGTACCAATTTCTGTGTCTCATATGCTCTTTATGGTATATGTTATCTTCTTGACTTTTCCTGCCTCATGTTAGACATTTCTGATCTACCCTTCAGCTTACTAATTCTATCTTCAGTTGTATCTAATTGGCTATTAAACTCATACACTAAAATTTTAGTTTTAGTTATTGTGTTTTTAGTACTCAGATTTTCATATATTTTTTTTATTATGGTTTTCAGTTCTCCATCAAAATTCCCAGTTGAGAACTTTAATTCCCCGATTATATTAATCAGAGTTATTGTAAATTCCATACCTGATAATGCTATTATCTCGATCATAATTGGATCTACATTCATTTTCTTTTTAAAAATGTATAATTGATCTTTCTTAGGTTGTTTTCATTTTTAAAATCAGGTTTACTGAAGCATAATGTATATACAGCAAAATCTCTTTTGAGATATATAATTTGATGAGTTTTGGCAAACATATGCAATAACCTAACTACCACAAGAATAAAAAAATAGAATTTCTCAACACCTTATAAAGAGTTCTTGTGCCCCTTTGCAATCCATCTCTTTACTGGTACACTGTAAACATTGATCTTACTTTTGTCAGTATAATTTTCCCTTTTTCCAGAAGGTCATATAAACAGAATCATATGGTATATAGCCTTTTGGGTCTGGCTTCTTTCATTTACCATAATGCTTTTGAAGTGATCATATTGCTGAACTTATCAGCAGTTTGTTCCCTTCTATTACTGAGTAATATCCATTGTATGGCTGTACCATGATTTGTTTATCTATTTACCAGTGCATGGATTTGCTTGACTCCAGTTTGGGGCCATTATGAATAAAGTTGCTATAAATACTCACAAGCAGGTCTTTGTGTGGACATATGCTTTGATTTCTCTTGGGTAAATATCCAAGAATGGGATTGCTGGGTCATAGGGTATGTGTTATGTGGTGGCCATGAAAATGAGCCTCTCAGATATCAGGGAGTCTCGCTGATCACTGCCCCAGCTCTTGCACTCTGAAATCCATTATTACCTTTGAGCTGAGGCCATGTTTCCATGATTCGCAACCAGTCAATGACAGAGTGTGGAAGGGACACTAAGGTGCGCCAATTCCTGGGGGATGTGGGAATCTTTCACAGTTGAATTTGAATCAAGGATTCCCCACTGTCTTTGCTTAAACTTTCTTAGAACTGCACTTAGAACTGTCTAGGACTTTTATAAAAAAAAAATCCAACCTTCTTTGCTTCTCTCTTTCATAGGGATAGACCTGACTTGTGGACTGACAGTTCACCCAGCTTTCTCTAGCTCCCTTCCTATTACCTCTCATAAGCATTTTCCCCAATAAGTCTCTTGGATGTCTGATCCCATCTTGGTGTTTCCTTCTTGGAAAACCTGAACTAGCATAAGAATACAGATAAAATGGGTTTCTGATATTGGCCCAATTACCACTTTGTGGGCAATGAAGAAACTTTCTTTAGTGGTATGCGAAGTACTGGCAGTTCCTAGTATACAATGGGGTTCTGATTGCTACAGATTTCACCAGAAGTAATCTGGGGAAATGTTTTGGTGGTGGGGAATGCCTTGCAGGAGTGACAATTCAGGCTTTTTAAAGATGGATGGAAACAATGCCCACAAAGACAATAGAGTTGGCTAGTTACTGCTAAATTAAATTGACATCACTTGAGAAAGTGAGGGCTGATAACAAGAACATAAATATTTAAAGAATAAGTGGGAGAGCCAGAGGAACTCTTTGGTAGCTTACATACATGCTCTTTCCTCTGAAGAATGGCCACAGCTGACCAACAGAAAATTTAATAGAGTTGAAGAACTCCAGAAATGTTTAAATGCTTAGCCTAAACAGGTCTACCATGATAAAATTGGGACCCTGGTTGGGAAAACCTGAGATCCTGAAAAATAGTATAGGAACGTCTAGATGTGTCTCTGAGGATGGTGGCTCTGAAAATCTCTTTAAATACTTGGAGTTTTGTAAGGTATGAACTTTCCTTATAAGAGTATCACTTCCCTTGTGCTTACAGATGCTGCAGAGGTTCCTCTCAGAAGTTGCTCCTACCTCCTCTTTTGGCTGCCAGGCCAATAACTACGGGTGAGGCCCAGCCTAACCTGGCTGGGGGAATGCTGGGGTTGGAGCTGGGGCTGATAAGGGAGGAAAGTGATTCTACCTCAAAGGATCTGCAAGAATTATCTTGGTTGTAGCAATAAAACCTATATGAGTACCCCTGGGAATAGACTTTGATAGTGCTGGATCAAAGGAGACAGAAAGTAAGACTGGGTAAGCAAGAATTCATTGACTTGAAGCTACTCTTTAGGGACAAGGGATATAACACCCCAGCAAGGACCCCAGGAAATGGGACAAACGCTCTTGTGGAGTGGCCTTCAAGCTCTAGAGAAAGCCATGACCTAAGCTGAGTAAAGTGGAAATGCCCAAACTGCCCCGGCAGATAGTAGAGAAAGAAATAAGGAGACTGCAGAAAGTTGGCATGCTCAAATGGATACATTGTGTGAAAACCTACTAGAAGACACACTGTTAATCAGGACCATCAGAAATGTGCTGGTAAGAGGCAAACCAAAATCACCAAAAAGTTCAATGATCACTCTCCTCTGCAAGCCAGGGTTGATAGTAGAAGAGATGGTCACAGAGCTAGGCTCATTTAATATTCATGGAGATGAAGCCCTCCCACCACCACAAAGTAATAAAAGCCAGATGATAGTGCTTAACTGCCAAAAGCTAGGAGGCCACAATTACCACAATGACTAGGAAGGTCAGAGAACTGCCAAAGGGACTTGATCTGCAGAGAGTAGTAGAGATAGTTAATAAATGGGCAGCTGATTCTGCTTAACATCTACTCCAAAAAGACCCCCCCCCAAAACAAACAAAAAACCCCCCCAAAAAAACCAAGAATGGAGAAAAAGTAGGTGTCCCAAATCAAAAATCATCATTCCTTGCCCAGTTCCCAGACCTGAACCAATTTTTGGATCTGGAACCCATTGGCTGAAGATATGGTCAGGCCCCCGAGAAGGACGTACACTTAAACAACTCCTTTCCCTGGTGTCCCCTCAGAAAGAGAGTCCCACAGGAACCATGGAAGAGTTGCTACCTGAACCCATGTGGAGAAATAAACCTGTGTAGTACAGAGGATGGACTATGGTGGCCATGAAAATGCACCTTTCTGATCTCCAACTTCAGAGAGCATAATTGACTCACTGTTTTCATGACCATGTTTATGATGAGGCCATGCTTGCCGAGAGCTGCTTAGCCAATGACAGAGCTTGGTAAGGATACTAAAACAAGCTTATTCCTGAGAGTTGCGGGATTCCTTTGATGGGCCACTTTGGCTCAACGTTGCTAAAAATTCCCTAGGAATGTGTCACAGTCTAAGACTTCTCCTACCCAATATTCTTTCCTTTCTTTTCTTCTTCACATAGGTTAAACCTGCATCATAGACTCACAGCTCACTGAATCTCTCTCAGTTCCCAACTTGTCTACCCTCATAAATGTTTTCCTCAACAAATCTCTTGAATGTCCAATCCTGTCTTGGCATCTGCTCCTTAGAGGATCCAAATTAACTCACTGCATCTTTAACTTTAAAAGAAATTGTCAAACTATTTTTATAGTCCCACCAATAATGTATGAGAATTCCAGTTACTCCACATTCTTATCAACACCTGGCATTGATAGTTTTTAAAATTTTAGCTATTCTAAAAGGGGCAAGGTGGTATTTCATTGTAGTTTTAGTTTGCATCTCCTTACTGACTAATTATGCTGAACATGTTTTCACGTGCTTATTTTCCATCTGTATATCTCTGGGGTAGTATCTGTTCAAGTGTCTTGCCTACTTCCTTGTTGAGTTATTTGACTACTTATTGAATTGTTAGAATTCTTTATAGTTTATTGTCTTAACAGTGTTGAATGACAGAAATTAATAATTTTGATGAAGTTCAATTAAAATTTTTTTCCTTTATTGTTTGTACTTTTTGTTTCTTTCCAAGAATTTCTGCCTAACTCAAGGTCACAAAGATAATCTCTTATACTTCCTTTTAGTGGTTTTATAAGTATAGGTTTTACATTTAAACTTAACATGCATTTCAAGTTAATTTTTGCATGTGATGTGCATAAAGGTGGTCTCATTAAGGATGGTTTTTAATAACTGTATGAAACCAATTGACCTTCAACATAGCTCATGAGAGCTGCTTTACTTAAGGAAGAAAATTTCATTAGTGAAATTTTATTCAATATGCTCAGCACATAAATACAAAAATTATTAATTATATATTTTATATTAATTTTAAAAGGACACTAACTCTTTCACATTAGATAATATTAAGTGCTAGCACCACGAATCAAATTTAGGTATGTGTATTCACATCACATAAATATATAGAAAGGTGCAAAATCTAAAGTAAAGTGGTGTTGTAACACCAAGGTCAAGGATTCAGATTCCCTTACTGTCTAGCTGCCAAAAGAAAAAAAAAAAAGTCTAAAAGTAAAATGCATCAAGGCAGTGTTCATTCAAGAATATTGGCTATTATTGAGAAAAATTTAAATACACCTTTAAATTGTTTTATAATGTCTTAGAATTCAGTAAATTAAAAATAAAAAACTTACCTTTTTTCTTCATGTCCTGATAAAGTTTGCTTATTTCTATCTTATGTCCTTCCTCTTTGATTTTCATTTCAGTTACAAGTTTGGCAATCTTATTCTTATACTCCTGGAGATTAAAATATATATTCGTTTTTTAGATTTAAATATGTGCATACAACTTTTGATTAATTAGTTTTGATTAATTTTGTATGTATGTAATGAAGTGCTTATTTATATTTTTAGTTTTAATTTTTTACTTGACAAAAATAATATATATTTATGGTGTATAACATAATGTTTTGATATATGTATACATTGTGAAATGACTAAATCAAGCTAATTAGCATACCTATTACTTTGTATACTTATTTTTTTTTTCATGGTGAGAACATTTAAAATCTAGACTCTTTAGCAGTTTTTAAGTATATGATATGTTTTTATTAACTACAATAACCATGTTGTACATCTCCTGAACTTATTCCTTCTGCCTCACTGAAATTTTGTACCCTTTGACCAGTATCTCTCAAATCACTGGCTCCCTGCCCTGCCTCCCATAGCCCCTGCTAATCACCACTTTCCTCCCTGCTTCCATGAGTTCCACGAGAAAGACCAATTTCTGATCCAAGGAGATAAAACTCATATAGAAATAATGTCTTTTTATCTTTGCTTCCTAAATACTCATCACCAGTGTTTATCATATCACAGATGCTCAAAATATTTAGTTTAATTGTATGAATAAATGCCATTACAGCATTAAAATATGTTCAATATAAGCCGAAGCTATAGTTTAGAGCCAACAAAAGGCACTGTCCAATAGCTAGCAAGCTTATTCTAATGCAGGATGAGTTTATTGGAATGCGGGCTGAACTTCTGTTTCTGAAAATTACATAAATACTACTAATCTCAGAAGGAGGTTAAGCACTACCCATGGTAAGGGTTAGCTTTGTGAGGAGCTGTCTAGAGAAAGACGGATTTGGGATTTGTGAGGTCCTTGACAGCGGACTGAGTTTAGCTTCTTAGGCTGTTGAAGCATAGGGGTAATTTATTATGCTAAGAACAGGGAGAAGAGCATTGAGAATGGTGATAGAAGAGAAAGTCCTGCAAAGATAAACTTTATAATTTTGTCAGGGGTATGGTCCTACATAAAACAAACAAACAAACAAACAAAAACTACTTGCAGGCTCAAGATGTAGGTAAGAGAAAAGGAAAGTGGGAAGAAAAAAAGTTAAGTTGGATAGTAGGAAAAAGGCAATAATAAGGGCAAGAGGTCAAGAAAAGCCTCTAAACACCATAAAAGCGAGGACTCACCATTGTGTTCCCAACTCTTTGCATATATATCTTGATGTATATTTGTTGAATGAATTGGAGTGCCAATAATTATTTAGGTCAAAGCTCTTAGCCTAGACCAAGTGAACGGACTTTTGAGGGTCCATCAACTTTCTGAAATTTTATGCAAAAATTACACGTGTGCGTGTGCGTGTGCGACTTTGAACATTTTTCTCAGAGAGGGTTCAAACTTTCAATAGATATACAATGGCATTGAGGAGGTTAGAAAAAAAAAGGTCAAGATACACTGGCTTAAATGTACATAATAAAAAATAGAAACACATCCCTCTGGATTACCTCAGTTCAAGGGACATACTCTGGATTCCTATTTGTGCTACTTACTCTGCCAGGCAACTTGCAGAAATGGTCAAACCTACCCAGCCTCTTGGCTCTGATTAAAGCTGAGCATGTGAATACAGGGGTGAATCTTACAAATTACCATTTTCAGTATGTATGTATGCAGGTTTCTAGATGGGTAATTACAGAGTGGCTTTTATAAACTACTCCTGACTCAAATGGGTGCACTAAGCTGTTGCAGCTCTGAGAAACCACAAGAGATAAATTTATGTACCTTTTCATTCCCCACCCACTTTGCCACCTGAAGATGCCACCACTAAAGTGGAATGTTTCCATTTATTCAGTAAGACCCAGAATTTTCATTCCAGCCTCCAGGCATGAAGGCTATCCTAGTGTTTGGGATGAGCTGGGCTGTATCTCACTAGGTTCTTTCCCCCCATTTTAACCTATGGCAGCCCTAAGGAATTTATTCCCTACCTTTTTCTAAGGGAAAACAAATTACAAAAAATAAATAAACTCAGCCCCAATAAATTATATTTGGTTGCTTTTTTCCATTTTAACCTATGGCAGCCCTAAGGAATTTATTCCCTACCTTTTTCTAAGGAAAAACAAATTACAAAAAATAAATAAACTCAGCCCCAATAAATTATATTTGGTTGCTTTTTTCTCATTTGTGTTCTGGGAGCTTTAAATTCCAAGGATTGTATTCTGGTTTTATAAAACTTAAAGATTCTCTAAACACAAGTTACAAAAATCCTCCCAGTCCCACAAATGTTGCCATTAAGTACCTCCTGAGTTTATTCCTAGGTAGTGGTTCTCCATGAGTTTGTGATGTGTCTGGAGGTTTTGTACTAGTGAATCCTCATTGGATTGAGGTCATTTTTAGCTTGTTTTAGACAGCAGCTGATTAAGAAATTCAGAATCTTGGTCTGTGGCATTTTCTCTTTAACTTCCACCCCTCTGAAAATTAAATTTCTATAATGTTCTATACAAAGCAGTATTCTAGGGAATCCTCATTGGATTGAGGTCATTTTTAGCTTGTTTTAGACAGCAGCTGATTAAGAAATTCAGAATCTTGGTCTGTGGCATTTTCTTTTTAACTTCCACCCCTCTGAAAATTAAATTTCTATAATGTTCTATACAAAGCAGTATTCTAGGGCTTGAAGTTTTAGAAGGGAAAGGAGGTAAAATTGTCCTTACCTCAATTATAGCCTGACTTCGGGATCTATTGCTGAGCTCTAGAGTCAGGATATGGAAGGTGTCAGGACAGAATAAAGGAAAGAAGATAATGAAAGGGGGGAGATGATGGGATACATCCCAGAGATACTTGAACTACCTCAAAATTGGTGATGAGAAGCTAAATTTTCCAAGAGCCAGAATGCTATTTATTACTGCTGAGTGTTACTTAGATGTCCTGGGCAGGTTTTTAGAACTAGCTTGTGTTTCTTCAGAGGCTCCTCAATTGAGGAACCAGACTGAATTTAGAGAAGATGTTTCAAGTTGATGCCTGCCACAGATTCAACTCAAGTTTTAGAGATAGATCTGCCAGAATTTGACATATTGGCTCTCGGGAGATGAGAAAAAGCATAGTAAAACTCCCAAAGGGTAGAGAAATGAGAACTGACAGTTATTAAGCATCTCTTATGTTTTTTAGGCACTGTGTTATATGCTTTACAATTGCTATTACCATACTGTTCCTATAGGAGATAAGGAATAGTAGAAGAAGGTATGGTGGTCCTTGGGAGAGAATTAATTTGTGATCCATATAAAATGCCCCTTTCATGTGGATGCTGCAATGATTACTCAAATATAAAGAGTTCTGATTCATTTACTTCATAATGAAAAGAGTTCAAAAGTGCTAATCAATGTACTTTACTCTAGAGTAAAAACTCTACTAACATAATTGAAAAATATGCAGAAAAATAACCACATCTCTTTTTGGTAGAAAGAAAAAGTAATGCAAGTGATACATTAGTATACTATATTTCATAAAAAGACTAGGGTTCTCAAAACTTATATTACTTTTATAACATATTTTCACTTGTTAAAGATTTTGGCATATACATGCACACATATATACACACACATACATCTCCACATACACATACACAAATTTTTGGATGTGTTTATAACCCCCCCATTTTTTCTAATTTGAAAAGACAAATGCTCTACAGAGACTCAATTGAATATAATGATATGTAAACTCACTTGTTCATGAGATTTTAACTTCTCTTTTATAAGATCAGCATTTCTTTTTAATTGTTCATTTTCACCTGTGTAAAAATAATCAAAGAACATCCTAATACATAGATAGCACTTTTCAATTAATATGGAAATATGTCTAACAGTCTAGCTTCCATTCATGTGCACATTCAACAAACATGCATCCAGCACCTACTGCACATCAGGCACTTTGCTAGACACTGGGAATGTGGAAAGAAATAGAGTTATTGCTATTTGAAGAACTTATAGCCTGGTGGTGAGACAGATGTTTAAGAAGTTACAATATGCTATGATAACTGCTCTATAATGGCAGTGTGTCTGTGGGAACCTGTGAAAGAAAAGCTTACCCATGTTAAGAGAGGGCATTCTAGACACAGAATATAGCACAGAAGACCATGGGCTTGAGTGAGTATAGCATGTTTAGGAAAGCTATAATTTAAGTACAGTATTGCTGGAGTGTAAAATGTGAGAAGGTGCTTTATTGGTTGGGGCCATATCACCCAGGTGGACATATTCTATATGACTTTGGATTCTGTTTTATAGGTTACAGGGAGACATCAGAGAATTTTGAACAGTGAAGAAGTGAAATGATTGGAGTTACATCCTAAACAGATTATCTGGCAATGTGTATACTGAATGGCAGGGTTTTGATCCTAGAGGCATGAAAATTAGTAAGGATAGATCAAGTTAGAGATAACAGGAACATAAATTAGATAAGTAGAGTACAGAAAAAAAGGTGCAATGAGAAGAACTATTTAGAGAGCAGAATTACCAGGGGATTTAGTGACTGGTTGGATAGGAGAGGCAAAAGAGAAAGGGGAAAGAAACCTTTTAGGTTTCTGGTTTGGGTAACTGAAAACAGTACTTTATTGACCATTTTTGACCAATTTTAAAAACCCTGTAGTTAATTTAGATTAATAAACATTCAGGTCAACTTAAAATTCTAATTTCCTATTTGACTGAAAGTTTTCATGACCCTCATCACTGGCTAGATCTGTGTCTGGAAGGACTCAATGGAAGTGAGGAAGGAGTCTTAGTTGGCTCTTTAATTGCTCTTCCATGTCTTTCCTCCAGCTCTATCTCTTGGGGGTTGGGGACAAGTAATGGGAAGAGTTGAAAAATTCTCTACTTAAGTTCTGGGATTCTAGTCTTCTAGGAGGTTGTGGCAAATATAATGGAGAGCCTAGATTTATTCCAACTTCTAGTAATTTTTTTAGCATCTTTCTTTAGAATATGGGAATATGTAGCTATTTAGTTATTTTGCTGTTTTTGTTAATTGGACTTAGCATAATGTGTTCAAGGTTCATTCATGTTATAGCATGTATCAGAATTTCATTTTTTTTTCCCTTTTTTTGTCTTTTTTACTGACCGGTAACGGGATCACAACCCTCGGTGTCACGCCCGTACCAGGGAACGGCAACGGGATCGCAACCCTCGGTGTTGCGCCTGCACCGCGCTCAGCCAGTGAGCGGGAACCGGCCGCCACATGGGATCCGAACCCTCGGCGGGAGCGCCGCCGCGCTCCCAAGCGGCGCACTCTCCAGTGCGCCACCGGGCCAGCCCCAGAATTTCATTTTTTTAAAGGTTCAATAACATTTCAATTGTATGTGTATATATACCACATTTTGTTTATTCATACATCTTTGATGGACATTTAGGTTGTTTCTATCTTTTGGCTATTGTTAATAATGCTGTTATGAACATTGGTATACAAATACCTGGTTGAGCCCTGCTTTTGATTTTTTGTGTATATATCCAGGAGTGGAATTGCTGGATCATATGATGATTCAATATTTAATGTTTTGAGAAATCATCAGTTTTCCACTGTATCTGTAGTACCATTTTACATTCTCTCCAGCAATGCACAAGAGTTCCAATTTCTCCACATCTCACTAAGCTAATTTTCTGTTTTTTTCTTAAACAATAGTCACCCTAATAAGTGTGAAGTGGTATCTCATTGTGGTTTTGATTTGCACTTCCCTAATGATTAGTGATGTTGAACATCTTTTCATATGCTTATTGGTCATTGGTATGTCTTTTTTGGAGAAATGTCTGTTCAACTCCTTTGGCTATTTGTGAACCAAATGTTTTGCTGTTGTTGAGTTGTACTTGTAGGAGTTTTTTTATATATTCTGGATATTAATCCCTTATCAGATATATGATTTATAAATATTTTCTCTCATTCTTTGGGTTGTCTTTTTACTCTGCTGATATATCCTTTGATGCACAAAAGTTTTTGGCTTTGATAAAGTTCAATTTGTCTCTTTTTTCTTTTTTAAGTGAACCATAATTGATTATACATATTTATGGGGTGCAGAGTTGACTATTAATATTTGTGTACAATATGTGATGATCAAATCAGTACTGTTAGCATGTTCATCATTACAAAGTATAATTATTCTTTGTGTCATTACCCTATTTCTCCCTAACCTCCATCCCCTTCCCCTCTATCCCTCCCTGCTTTCTTCCCTTCCTTCCTACCTTCCTTCCTTCCTTCTTTGATCCACTTATGAGTGAGGAGATTTAGTATTTCTCTTTCTGTGCCTGGCTTATTTCACTTAACATGATTTTCTCCAGGCTCATCCATGTTGCTGCAAATGGCAGAATTTCATTCTTTTTTATGGCTGAGTTGTATTCCTTTGTGTATGTATACCACTTTTTCCTTATCCAGTCATCTGTTTATGGACATTTAGGTTGGTTCCATAGTTCATATTTGTAAATAGAGCTGAGATAAACATGGGAGTGTAGTTATCCCTTTGACACGATGATTTCCATTCCTTTGGATATATACCCAGTTGTGATATTGCTGGATCATAGGGTAGTTCTATATGTAGTTGTTTGAGAAAGCTTCATACCGTTTTCCATAATGGCTGTACTAATTTATAGTTCCACCAAAAGTGTAGAAGAATTCCCCTTTCCCAGCATCCTCACCAGCATTTGTTATTCTCAGTCTTTGTAGTAATAGCCAGTCTAACTGGGGTGAGATGATATCTCAATGTGGTTTGGATTTGCATTTCCCTGATGATTAGTGATTTTGAACATTTTTTCATGTAGCTCTTGGCCATTTGTATGTCTTCCTTTGAAAAATGTCTATTCATCTCCTTTGCCCATTTTTTAATTGGATTATTTAGGTTTTTTTTTACTGTGTAGTTGTTTGAATTCCTTATATATTATGGATATTAATCCCTTGTTGAATGTATAGTTTGCAAATACTTTTTCCGATTCCATAGGTTGTCTTTCCACTCTGTTGATTGTTTCCTTTGCTGTGTGGGACCTTTTTAATTTTATATAATCCCACTTGTTTATTTTTTCTTTTGCTGCTTGTACTGTTGGGGTCATATTCATAAAGTCTTTGCCCAGTCTTACTTCCTGAAGTGTTTCCCCTATGTTTTTATTTTTTCCAGTAATTTTATGGTTTGGGGTCTTATTAAATCTTTAATCCATTTTGAGTTGATTTTGGTATATGGTAAGAGGTACAGGTCCAATTTTGTTCTTCTCCATATGGATGTCCAATTTTCCCAGCACCATTTACTGAAGAGACAGTCGTTTCCCCAATGTAGGATCTTGTTGCCTTTATCAAAGATCAATTGGTTGTAAGTATGTGGGTTGATTCCCAGGTTTTCTTTTCTGTTCCATTGGTCTGAGTGTCTGTTTTTATGCCAGTACCATGCTGTTTTGCTTACAGTAGGCTTTTAATATAATTTGAAGTCAGGTAGTGTCATGCCTCTGGCTTTATTTTTTTGCTCAGGATTGCTTTGACTATTTGGGGTCTTTATTTTAATACCATATGGATGTTAGTACTGTTTTCTCTATTTCTGTGAAGAATATTATTGGTATTTTGATGGGGATTGCATTGAATCGGTAAATTGCTTTGGGTAGTATGGAAATTTAACAATGTTAATTCTTCCAAACCAGGAGCATGGTATGTCTTTCTGGCTTTTTGTATCCTCTTCAATTTCTTTCAGTAGTGTTTTGTAGTTCTCATTGTAGAGATCTTTCACCTCCTTGGTTAAATTGATTCCTAGGTATTTTATTTTTTTGGCAACTATTGTAAATGGGTTTACTTTCTTGATTTCCTTTTCTCCTATTTTGTTATTAGAGTACAAAAATGCTACTGATTTTGGAGTGTTGATTTTGTAATTCTGCAACATTGCTGAAATAATTAATCAGCTCTAAGAGTTTTCTGGTAGAGACTTCAGGTTTTCCTACATACAAGATCATGTTGTCTGCAAACAGGGACAGACTGAGTTTATCCTTTCTAATCTGGATGCCCTTTATTTCTTTCTCTTGCCTGATTACTCTGGCTAGTACTTTCAATACTATGTTCAATAGAAGTGATTGGAGTGGGCATCCTTGTCTTGTTCCTGTTCTTAAGGGAAAAGATCTCATCTTTTCCCCATTCAGGATGATATTGGCAATTGGTTTGTCATATATGGCTTTTATTGTGCTGAGATAATTTCCTTCTATGACTAATTTGCTGAGAGTCTTTATCACGAAGTGATGTTGAATATTGTCTAATGCTTTTCTGCATCTATTGAGATCATCATATGGTTTTTATCCTTGGTTTTGTTGACATGGCATATCACATATATTGACTTGCATATGTTGAAACATCCTTGCATCCCTGGGATGAATCCCACTTGAACATTGTGTATAATTCTTTTGATGTACTGCTGTATTCTGATTGCTAATATTTTCTTGAGGATTTTTACATCTATGTTTATCAAGGATATTGGCCTGTAATTTTCTTTTTTTGTTGTATCTTTGTCTGGTTTTCATATCAGGGTGATGCTGGCCTCATGGAATGAGTTTGGGAGAATGCCTTCTGTTTTGGTTTTTGGAATAGTTTGAAAATTAATGGTATTAATTCCTCTTTAAAGGTTTGATATAATTTAGCTGAAAAGATATCTGGTCCTGAGCTTTTCTTTTTTGAAAGATTGCTGATTACTGCTTCAATCTCATTGCTTGTTATTGGTCTGTTCAGGTTTTTCTTTTCCTTCTTGGTTCAGTCTTGGTTGTTTGTATGTGTCCAGAAACTTATCCATTTCCT